ATTAGAATAGGGCTTCGGGGGTATACTATAGTATAATCATGGTCAGGACCGCTACGGAAGAATATAGGCAACGATTCAGGCTCTTTCTCAAACCCCTGCATCTAAACCATTGCATGCACGCTCCTGAGATTCGAAGGTCAAGCCCGATCTCGCAGAGAGAGAGAGAGAGCAAAAATAACACATATATAATTACAATAATAATAATAGTAGCAATAGTAGTAATAATAATAATAAACCCTTGTTGGCCATGAACCCGAAACCCCTAAACCCGTTGTTCAACCCTAAACCCCCGTGTTGGCTGTGCGGTCTCGGGCTGCAGGCGTGTGGGTTTGACGACCTAGGATGTTTGGGGTATATAGGGTATATAGGGTATATAGGGTCTATAGGGTTTATAGGGTTTAAGGTTTGGGGTTTATAGGGTTTAGGGTTTGGGGTATATAACGTTCCCCGAAGCCAGTTCCTGTTTGCGGTTCCAGTTTCTTAGGGCCGTTTTCCACAAATAACGGGCTTGTTTGGGGCCTACAGGGGGCAAGGTGAAGGACTCAGGCACAGGTATTGTAAACCCTAAACCCTAAGCTTAATTTATTCGGCCCCAAACCGAGTTTGAGTTTTGGGAGGATTCGGACGTTTCAGCTGGTCGTCTCAATAGGAAGGGCCATGTCATAGTTAGTCATGCTGACACTCCTGCCTGGTTAGGGCGGTTAGGGTCGTAGCATAGCTTCTTAGTCATTTTTGGTGCGTGCAAGGCAAGCAAAGACACCCTGCAAGTTTCGAAAACCCTAAACCCTAAATCGTTTCAGGACGCCTCCTGCAGCGACCCCGGCGATAACTCTGTGCGCCAGGCGCGGTCGATCCTCGATAGACGGCCATAGATTCCCTGGTAGCTATACGGTGGTTTCTGGATGCTTGCATAGCACATGCTATGGTATACGACCGAGCCCAAGGAAAGTAGCTGACCATGAAGGCAGCTGTGCTTGTTACGGACTAGAGGTTTTAGGGGGGAGCTCGGGGGGGGGTTAACGACAGCCAGCTCGTAAAACGATGTGTATCTGCGTGAGAGTCGGCATTCGGGTGGCCAGACTCTGCACATGGACGCCGCGACTTTATAACCCTCAGTACAGAGCTTCCTCACGATCCAGCAGCCCAGAAAGCAGTCCGCCGGGAACCCCCCCCAACGAGTAAACCCTAAACCGCTCAACCCTAAAACCCTCAACCACTAAACCCCTAAACCCTCAACCCCTAAACCCCTCAACCCCTAAACCCCTAAATCCCTAAACCCTAAGCTCCTCACCTCTAAACCCCTAAACCCCTCAACTTCTAAACCCCTAAACCCTAAAACCCTAAAAACCCTAAAAATCCTAAAAATCCTAAAAACCCTAAACCCCTAAAAAACCCCTTCTTCGTCCGACTCCCCACCTGGGCTTGGACACTTCGGCCGCAGAGGTCCTGGGATCTGGCGGGCCAGCCGTCCCCAGGGACCCCGAAGCCTAGAGGGTTGAGGGCTTTTGTTGCGATTTTTAGGGGTTTAGAGGTTAGGGTTGAGGGCGTTTGTTGCGATTTTTAGGGGTTTAGAGGTTAGGGTTGAGGGCTTTTGCGATTTTTAAGGGGTTTAGGGTTTAGGGGTTAGGCCCGAAAGCCCTAAACTAACAGCCCAAATCCCCGAAGCACGACGCCCTAAGCCCGAAAAGCTTTAACAACAACCATCAAGCCCTAAGCCCCAGAGGCCCCAATCCTTTTTGACATCTTAGGCCCTAAACCCTAGTTTAAGCCCAAATCCTAAACCCTAAACCCCCAAAAAGGCCCGAGTCCTTAGAGACATCCTAGGCCCTGAACCCGTCTAAGCCCCAAATCTTAAAGACTATGCCCTAAACCCCAAAAAGGCTCCAATCCTGATCTAACTCGTCCTATTTGGGGTTTGGGGTTTAAAGAGTTTGTAGAGCCTTGTGCAAACTTGGTCAAATCTGCATAGAGAGTTTTAGAACCCGTTTAATCGCCCGCATGAGTGTACATCTGAAGCCCTTGAACCCTGACTTGGGCTTAGGGCTTCAGGTTTTGTATCAGGGTTCTAGAGTTTAGGGCTTATGTTGTGTTTAGCTCAGGGTTGGGGTGTACCGTTGGGTTTAGGGGTGTAGGGTTTAGGGAGAAGGATGTAGGATATATATATATATATATTTGCGGGATTTGCGTGCGTTCAGCGGTTTGCGCGGCTTAATTAAGTGAAACATGCAAAGGACCGGCGCACCTGAAGGGTGCGGCCAAAGGGTGGGACCAAAACTCCGGAGGGGCATCTAGGCGAACTGTACGACCACTGATCAAGTGGTGCCATGCCTGGCGGAGCTGGCCCGGTAGTAAAGTCCCGTAGTCGTGAGCCACGGCTGAAATTTCCACCCTGTCGCAGTGCTGGCGCCAATCAGCTTCCCAGCTAGACAGCACTGAAAAGAACATGGGGGAAAGGGTCCCGTCTGCTGGACTTGGTGGGGCAGCGGCCTTAGGCCACTCAAAATTGGTCACAAGCTGCTTAAAAGCCTTTAGCGAGTGACATTCTGGGATGCTCTGTGTTTCGGGTAGTCCAAAAGTCCAGAGGGAGGACTTGACCGAATCGACAGCACGGAGAATACTCTGGACGGTAGAAGGGTCCCAAGGGTCGCACGGGTCATCCTCATGCAGCTCCATGACATCGGATGACACTCGGTCCAAGACCTGCACAATTTCGTCATGGTACAACGGACCCTTAAACAGTACCGCAGAGAGCGTGGAGGCAATGGTAGCATCCGAGGCTCCACTGTCAACCGACATAACAGCATCACAGGTGTCGTTGTAGGCTCGTTGCTGCTCTTTACTCCATATTGGTTCCTCTGGCTGTGGAGGAATACAGCCACGACGGACAGGCACAGAAAGAGTGAAATTCAGGTTATCAGCCTGTCGTCGTTTTTGCTGCCGAATCCAGGGGCCAGAGTCTCCACATGCTGACCTTGACCTGCCAGAGCAGCAACGCAACCTGGACTCGTCCTCAGGTGTGCGGCGAGACGTCCTGCCGTCCAAAAGGACGTATCGCAGGCGGCACAAACGGTGCCTGTCGTCACATGACGATAAGCAGCAACCCGTCCATGTTTTTTAAAGAAGTGCACACTCAAACCTGCCTTGCTACCAAAGGGCCGGCTGCATGGGTAGCAAACCCACCGAGCTGTTTGCTCAACCGACGGGCAATGCCGGAGTGTTGTCCGATAGCAGTGCCAGAGGCAAACCAATGTCCTATCCTCCGCAACCTGTTCCTGATGGGTCTGCCGCAGTCGCCGCTTAACTCGTCTGCGGAAAGCCTGCGTCGAGGAATTGATGAGATGGTGCCACGCCGGCCAAGCTGGAGCTACCAACAGCGGCCAATGTTCTTCATCACCTTGGATGAGCCACTGCAGATCTTCTTGAATAACGCGGAACCATGCTGCCTCCTCCTGCAGTATGGCCCAGAGGAGAGGTGGGCCTGTTTGGACTAGCGACACAAGCAAGCTCAAGCGAGCTCGTTTGGCAATTAAGTCCAGCCGCCAACACCCGGTACACCAATGAGCCACAGGCAATGGGATGTGGAAAGCCCGGTGTGCTCCCACGTTGGGTACCAGCAATCTTCTGACCAACTTGGAGTATCCATTGGAGAGCAAGTCCCAGGACTGTCCTACAGGAACCCAGAGGCCTATGTTGAAGAATGTGGGCGTTACGGCAGACTCGAACAGTGCTGCCCTGGTGGCAAGTGCAAGCCGCGGACTGCCTAGCAATAGAGTTTTGGCGGAGTCGTAGGAGCTACCTGCATCGCCCCTGTTGACGATAAAAGTTGGGACTAATCACTGGTGGCAGGTTTTCCGGCGGTGGCGAAAAGTGGGGTTGTTCAATCACACAGAATCCCTCCTTTTTGCGGTCACCAGCATCGTGCAAGCTCCACTTTGTACAAGTAAAGGGTTCGCTGGGGAACTTTGTTTGCTTTAACCAAACGACCCAAAGTCGCGATGCGGTTGATGAAGTCTTCAGCCATCTGGCACGAATGCGAAATCGGATTCAATGCCTGGATATTGCACTCTGTGGCAAACTTCAGTTCCAGAAGCACGTGTAGTAGCATGTGGTACTTCGGATTGAGCTTAAAGCGGGGTAAATTTCGCCCATATGCCAAGGTTGCAATCTTGGCATAAAGTTGTACCATGGTTCTACCACACCGATAAATTTTTGCCAGTCGTGGCAGCTCAAGGAAAAGGCCTGCCTTGTACAGCATGCTCAAGAAGCCATCAAAAGCCTGGAGGCAAGCAAGGATCTGCTCGAAGTAGAATCGAACCTGAGAATCCTGAAAGTCATGCTCGCCCAGCACATTCTGGAATTTGAAGATGAGAAACTTCATCACGAAGGTTGTGTCAGCACCTTTGAACCAGGCCCTGAGTCACAGGTGTAAGAAACACAAGCCCTTTACATTGTGATTGGATAACATACACACGAAAAAACGACTGCAGAAAGATACGAGTCAACAGCCAGGCACCCGTACGGGAAATCTGCAGAACTGGAAATGGCCAGGAGCCCTTTTGTCAAAGCATTCATGTGCAAGTAAAGCTTGTTTTTCTTTTCGAAGACCTTCATTTCATCGTACAGGTGGGTCAGATTCTTATCGATGCCGGTGGCCGCTGCACCAGTGACACCAAAATCCCATAGAGTAACCTCTGATGCTCATGAGAAAATCAAGCTAACGACTGCACAACCTCGGTTATGGAATCCCTTGGAGGGCTCTAGTGTTTAGTGCGGGTTGTCTAAAGAATCATATTTATAACATACTTTAGGGTTTAAAGTATTAGAAGGGTTTCTATGGTTTCGTTGGGGCTTGTAGGGTTTCGAAACCATAGTTACTATGCAGGATAAGCTCCAGTGCTGACCCAGCGAGATCGGCAGCGACTCCTTTGTGTAGAGTATGGAATAAATCTATGTAGTAGAAATTTCGCTTCTTGTTCGCATCCATGGGTATCAGAGACGTGAGTCCTGACTCCATTCGTCGCTTCCAAGGATCTGTCGTCTCAGCCATGCTTCGGACCCATGGTGCATTGTTCAAATCACACTCGTGCCAAGAAGGACATCCTCTTGTATTAGCCATACAAAGATGGCAGATACCAACTCCAAAGGGGCTTGATTCTCGACGAAAATGCCTCGATAAACGTCCTAATTTATCTAAGGCAGGCCAGTCGCCTTTTAAGCCCAGGGTCACGACTCGCCATGTGCGTGCCGTGCCGCCTCTGCGAACCTCGAGGCCAGTAGTAAAGCATTTGGCCAAATCCTCGGCCCAAGCACTCACCAACTTGTGAAGCGGTGTGGAGTCCCTGAGGTATGTGGTTCTCGGCATAACAGAAAAGAGCTGCCTTGTAACAATGCTGTTTCCCCGGTAGTTCATTCGTAGTGGCTCTGCGGCTGTTCGTTCATCCTCTGCTTCGCAGCCACTGCCCAGCACAGGTTCTGAGCCCAACACAAACACAGCAGACTTCTTGTAACCTCGCCCCTCATCCCCGATCAAGTATATAGGTATCGTGAAAGCCAGGTCTTCTGCAGATAGCTTGTACACTGGATGATGAGGTTTAAGAGGCTGCATCTTGTCCCAAAAGAACGAAGGTCGGCACCTGCTGTCAAGATTTCCATCTTGTCCATATCAGCCAATGTAGCCAACAAATCGGAAAACATGATGCATGGATGACCTTCTTCCAAGCCCACATCGACTAAAGTAATTGGCAAAGAGGCGTGAACTTCCGGCGTGGATTCCACAGCTTTCCTGGCAACTTTGGCTGCATGGCCCGTAGAAAACCCTCGAGACATCTGGCGTAGAAGATTTGAGGATTCCAACATATCAGCAGCCTCGTCACCAAATGCCCCCTCCACCTCCGATATAACAGCTTGTGCCAGCTCTGTAGCCAACTCATGAGACACCTAGGTTTGTGAGGGTGATGCCATCTCAAAGTTATTAATGTATAATACATGCAAGCGAAACAGTATCTGCTATCGGTCATACTCAGTAATAAACATTCATGAGTAACAACATCGACAGCCCGGGCACTCCTTTCGTAATGGCTTTAGCCAAAGTCGATGCTAGGGGACCAGCAGAGTTAGACGAAGCCTTCGAGATGTTGCTGTCCAGAGATCTTGTCGACAAAGTACCTGCGGGCATTGTTTGTGAATCATGTCAGACAGAACAGATCACTCAAACAATCGATGCTGATGAGACTTTTTCTTCGGTTCTGTTCCTCCCCCGTAGCATGTTCGGTGAACATATATCGTGCGGGAGCGGGGTCGAAGTCACAACCTTAATAGCCTAGCTAGGAGAACTAAGGTAACTAAGGTGTTCTATGCTTAGGTAAGTAATATGAAGCTATGAAGGTGCCCAACCTTTAACCGACCCTGACCTCTACCCGCTACCCTGGATCCACAGCACAAAGCTGACATCGCCGAAGGTTCATTTCGAAGCCTTCTTCTTGGGACCCTGCTTTGGCTTTGCCTTCACAGAGGCTGCGGGAGGGCCTTTGTTCCCGGGCTCACTGTCCTTGAGAGACGGCAGCACTGTCCTCATCATGCAGTGGTGTTCCAAAGCTCACACGACAGGATCCTTGTGCTGCTGCTCTGACAATCTAAGAGCCAATCTTCTTAACCTTGTTTTCTTCCATCGTCAGCCGGCTCGCCCTGCAGGTTTCTGCGATGTGGCACGTGTGCGGAGGACAGGTAGTGCTGGCCACGGGGCATCTTGTTGACGGTGTTGATCAGCTTGGTCAGCTTCCTGAGATGAGTCATGAACATACAAGGGGATCACATTCACTAGGGGGTCGACCGGCGTGGTTTAGTTTGCTGGGTTCGTGCAGTCGAGTGTCGAATGATCAATCGTTTCATC